TTTGGGATCTTCACATGGGGATGTGCCTTGACCATCCTCAGGTGTGGGCGTGAGTGGCTGCAGGTGCCTGTCAATCTGGCAAGGGGCCTTGGCATTGGCTGTGCTGGGCAATAAGACCAGGTCCCCTCCTGCCCGGCCCCCCTCCAGGAGCCCAGTGATGCTGCGCAGGCTGTGAACAGGGAGGGCAGCACTGCGGGGGCTGCCAGCAGCCGGGGCCGGGAGAGACATGTGGACACGTAGCCCCTATGGCTTCCGCCTGCCAGATCCTCCGCTGGGCCCTCGCCCTGGGGCTGGGCCTCACCTTCAAGGTCACACATGCCTTCCGATCTCAAGGTAGGAGTGGTCCAAGGGTGGCCATGGGAGCAGGAAGTTAAGGTGACCAGAGGGTCCTGGGTGGAGGAAGGGCCAGGGTTCATTTAGGTTTAGCTCTGCAGTCAGGGATCTGGATTTGGGAATTGGTGAGGCCAGTGTCACCTGCTTTAGGAGCTAGGTCACAGGGCCAACCAGAGCCTCTGACCCTCACCCACAGATGAGTTCCTGTCCAGTCTGGAGAGCTATGAGATCGCCTTCCCTACCCGCGTGGACCACAACGGGGCACTGCTGGCCTTCTCACCACCTGCCCTCCAGAGGCAGCGCAGGGGCACGGGGGCCACAGCCGAGGCCCGTCTCTTCTACAAGGTGGCTGCACCCAGCACCCACTTCCTGCTGAACCTGACCCGCAGCCCCCGTCTACTGGCAGGGCACGTCTCCGTGGAGTACTGGACCCGAGAGGGCCTGGCCTGGCAGAGAGCTGCCCGGCCCCACTGCCTCTACGCTGGCCACCTGCAGGGCCAGGCCGGCAGCTCCCATGTGGCCATCAGCACCTGTGGGGGCCTGGTGAGCTGAGGATTCTGGGAAGCAGAGGGAAATGCCCACACTTTTTTGGAAGTTGTGAAAAATACTTTTAAATGTAGATCAGCCAAGGAATCATAGTGGGACCTTTTTTAAAGTACTTAGAGCTACTGATAATCAATACTTTGGGAAGGTAGCTAAAGCAGTACTTAGAGGAAAATGAGTAGCCTTAGGTAAGGCTGAAGATAAGTGATTTGAACATCATCTCAAGAAATTAGAAAAGTAATAGTAAAATACACCCAATAAGATAGAAGGATTGAAATGGCAAAGACAGACTCGGGGCCCCAGGGACCTGAGAAACAAGAACCTGATCCGAGCTTTCTCTCCCACTTCCCTACCCCAGCATGGCCTGATTGTGGCGGATGAGGAAGAGTACCTGATTGAGCCCCTGCAAGGTGGGCCTAAGGGTCCCCGGGGCCCAGAGGAAAGTGGCCCTCATGTGGTATACAAGCGTTCCTCCCTGCGCCACCCCCACCTGGACACAGCCTGTGGAGTGAGAGGTACACCTGTCTCTCTGGGAGCGGGCAAAGGGGCCACACAACATCCTTCCCTTGAGGTAGAGGTCGGCAGCAGTGTGTTTTCATCCAGAAGGTCAGCAAGCATCTCCCCATGGGGAAAGGGGAACTGTTGAGAAAAAGATATGGGCCTGAATTCCGGAGCTGCACCCACCTGCAGGCAGTGGGGCAGCAGGATGTTGCAGCCAGGTAGCCAGGCCACAGACAGGAGCCCATCCTATGCCATCATCTGCTGGCCCAGCTGTAAGGCAGCCAGACAGGGGGCGGTGTAAAGCGGTTCCATCTCTAGGATCAGTGTCTAATCAGACAGTTAAGAAGTAGTGTGGTTGTATCAGACCCTAGAAGGGTTCAGTCAAAATGCATCAGAAGGCCTCAGGCACGTTCAAAAGGTCAGATTTGCCAGGCATGGTCATCTCAGCTACCTGGGGGCTGCTGGTCACAAGTCTGAAGTCAGCTTGAGCAACTTAGCGGGATCCTGACTCAAAATAAAAAAGACTGGGGATGTGGCTCAATGGTAGAGCACTTCCTAGCATGTGCAAGGCCCTGGGTTCCATCCTCAATGATGAAAAAAACAGTCAGATTTACAACCAGACCAGTAGAAGAACAATTCACCACCAGACATCTAGAGAAAGGGAGAATAGGAAAACTATATAATAAGTGAATATTTGCCAGCACGATTGATCATATAGTTAGTTAGAAAACAGACTGATGCTCAGTGGAAAGGCACAAGAACAAGATGGTGAATGAGCTGAAGGACCTGACAGTCTGCAGATGGTACACCATGGCAGACGTAAAACCACAGTCAGAGGTACAAGCAGAAAGTTGGGTGGTGTCACGATTTGGTCACTGAGATATTCTAGCTATAGTGTGGTCAGGCAGTTGGGCTGTTCTAGAGCCAGCCTGGCCTGTTGGCCCGTGCCTTGGTTGGAAAGTTGCTGTCGGAAGCCCAGGAAGTTATGCAGGCACCCGGTTCAGACGGCGCGACAGCCTGCTCCCTGCCCGCGCACTGGAGCAGCAGGATTGTCAGGGAGTTGTGCCGTCATAACGGTTGACATGGGACACTGGGCAGCTACTCAGCCAACCAGCTTGGGAGTGGGACAGCTGTCCTAGTGTTCAGGTAGCCATGGGCGAGGGGGTGGTCTGGTTGCCAAACAGCTGGGCTGTTGTACAACCAAACCATGGAGTTGTCACACTGTTATTCAGCCCAACGGTTTGACAGAGGGACGGACAACAGCGGTGTCGGCCCAAACATTCAAGGAGTGGGTCACTTCAGAACCAGATAGAAAAAGGGTGGTGAGCAGCCTGTGGAGCAGATGGACCATCAAAGAGACAACAGGCAGGAAAATAACCAGGAACTGTCCACCCAGACTGTTGGGCGGAGGCACAACCGAAGGGGCTTTGTAGACAGAGGTCAGCAGCTGAGTGTCCCATCAGCAACGTGGGCTTAATTGCTTCACTGGGCCCCCCAGATGAGAAACCGTGGAAAGGTCGGCCCTGGTGGCTACGCACCCTGAAGCCACCACCTGCCAGGCCCCTGGGAAACGAAACAGAGCGAGGCCAGCCGGGCCTGAAGCGCTCAGTCAGCCGAGAGCGCTATGTGGAGACCCTGGTGGTGGCTGACAAGATGATGGTGGCCTACCATGGGCGCCGGGACGTGGAGCAGTACGTGCTGGCCATCATGAACATTGTAAGTGCCTCCCCCTTCCTGGGCATGGGGCCCTGGGGACCGGCGGCTGAGGGTCAGGAAAATGGCTGTCACTTTCCCACTCCTAGTCCCTGATATGGGACCAGGGCAGGAGGATGGAGAGGGACAGGGTGAAAAGCCAGGGCTGCCATCAATGAGGAAAGGCTGGGAGCAGGTGGCCTGGAGCAGAGGCAGCCTGCAGGGACCTAAATCCCAGCTCTGTGGCATTTACAGCAATGGAGACTAAGGCACAGAGAGGTCAAGAGCCCTGCTTGAGATCTGACACAGGAGCGAGAACTGTAGGTCCTCTGGGCATGTAGGTTCTGCATCCATGGATTCGACCCTCCTCAGCTGTGTGCCCTCACTCGGCCAGCTACTGCACCCCCTGCCTGGGCTTATCCATCTGTAAATTGGGATAATAGTGGCCCCCGCTTCATAATGCTTAGGTGGATTCAGAGAATTGATATGCACTTAGAACAGGGCATGGCACAGGGTAGGTAAGTGTTTGCTCTGTATAATAATAAGCATGCAGCTTGCAGGTACTCGCGAAGGTGAGCAGGACACTCGCAGGCACACATCTGTATGCATGCAGAGTTCTTGCACAAGCGTCCACCTATCAGTTCATACAGGATGACTTCCCTTACCCACGCTCAGATACAGCCATCCCTCGGTATCCACAGGTGATTGGCTCCAGGCCCCCCCCCCCCCCCAGATACGAAAGTCCTGGTGTTGAGGTGCCTTATGTAAAATGTCAGGTGTGCATAGCACCTACACACATCCTTCCAGAGACTGCAGCTCATCTCTAGATGACTTAGAGTGCTCTATACCAAGGATATGCAAAGTAAAGAGTCTGTATGTGTTCAGTTCAGATACAGGTTTTTTGTTGTTTTTATCTACTATTTTCTACCCATTGCTCTCAGTCCTGTGCTAGATCTCAGTCACGGCTGTTGACCTCACCTAGCCTCAATTTCCACAGCTGTAAAATGGGGCTACCCTGGCACCTACTGCAGAAGTTAATGGGAGGGAAGCCGTGTAGAGTGCTTGGCACATACGAGGGCTTGATGAATGGGGTTCTTGTTTCACTGAAGCAGAAAACAAGAGAAAGTTTAGCAGACAGATGAATGGCCCAAATGTTGACATAACATCACCTCTGATACCACTGTGTCCTGCCCCGCCCTGGGCTCCCCTCCCTCCCTTGGGCTTTCTGAGTTTCCTAAAACCTGCCTGGATTCCCGGGGGTTTCCAGGCGGGATGATGATGGCCCACTCTCCAAGGTCCCTGTGCAGCCTGCCTTCCACCACTTGCCCATTTGCCCCGGGACCACTTCCTCCTCCCCTGACCACTGTCTCCGGAGTCCGCTGCCCTCACAGTTCCACCTTCCTGTGTTGATGCTTAAATTGGTACCTCCGACTGCTGTGGGATGAGGCCAGATGTGCATATTCCTCGGCTGCCTCTGGGCAAAAAACACTCAAGGCAGTGAGCGGGGTGAGCCGGGGTGAAAGGACAAGTAGACAGGTAAGCTCAGACAGGATGTCACAAAGACGGGAGGCAACCCAGACGGGAATCCCACTTAAGGTACCGCCAGCTGTGTGTCCTGCAGCCTCTGTGCCCCGGTTTCCTCATCTATAAAGTCAGGATGAAATGGTTCCCAGTCAGGAAAGGACACGTGCCCCAGGCTGACCCGGGCCCAGCCACACCAGGGGCTTCACGAAAGCAAGCTGCGGTCGCTGTCTCTGCCTTCCGCTTTCCATCCCGGGCTCCTCTTAAGACTCCGTCTCTCTTGTTTCTTGGAGGTCAGGTTGCCAAACTTTTCCAGGACTCGAGTCTGGGAAACATCGTTAACATCCTGGTGACGCGCCTCATCCTGCTCACCGAGGACCAGGTGTGGGCGCGGGAGGGGACACCCCTTCCCTCCAAGGCACTCTGCCTGCCATGCCCAAGGTGACAGGCACCCGTGCCCCTCGCTCTTTCTGTCCCCAGCCCACCCTGGAGATCACCCACCACGCCGGGAAGTCCCTAGACAGCTTCTGTAAGTGGCAGAAATCCATCGTGAGCCGCAACGGCCATGGCAACGCCATCCCGGAGACCGGTGTGGCCAACCATGACACAGCGGTGCTCATCACGCGGTGAGGGGCGGGGAGGACCCAGGACTTGGGCCCAGGGAACGAGTGGACCGAGGGACCAGCAGGGTCACATCTGCCGTGGGATGGAGGGGATGGGAAGGCTGCCAGGAGCCTGAGAGTGTGGGGAGGGGGCTGCTGGGCCACCTGGGCCCGACGCACACACTCACTCGCCCTCCCGGTCAGTCGGAGTCCCTCACGTACCCCAGCACCCCCAAGGCCAGCGGGTTGGCTTCAGCTGTGTGCAGCATGAAGCTTGGGGTGAGAGGCAGACAGCGCCTCCCAGGCAGGACTCACCCCCCAGAGCCGGGCACGGTGGCGCTGGTGGCTCAGGGAGGCAGCCCTGTCCCCTCACTGCCCTGTCCTTCCACAGCTATGACATCTGCATCTACAAGAACAAACCCTGCGGCACACTAGGTACTGGAGTCCCGTAGATCCTGGGCCTCTGTGAGGGGGTCCCTGACCCTGGGGTGAGACCTGGCAGGGTGGCCGGGGCAGCCAGCCCAGCCCTAGGGCCGCCGGCCCGACCCCACGTGCCTGTTTCCCAGGCCTGGCCCCGGTGGGCGGGATGTGCGAGAGAGAGAGAAGCTGCAGCATCAACGAGGACATCGGCCTGGCCACGGCGTTCACCATTGCCCACGAGATCGGGCACACGTGAGGCCAGGACACTCAGGAGAGGGAGGATGGGAGGAGCTGGGCGGGTCCCTCAGCGTCCCACGGAACCGACACCCCTCTCCCCAGATTCGGAATGAACCACGACGGCGTGGGGAACAGCTGTGGGGCCCGTGGCCAGGACCCCGCGAAGCTCATGGCTGCTCACATCACCATGAAGACCAACCCGTTCGTGTGGTCATCCTGCAGCCGAGACTACATCACCAGCTTTCTGGAGTGAGGATGGCGGGTCACAGTCACACGGGGGCAGCTGTGGCAATGCCCTGCCAGGTGCGCCCCAGAGCCCCTGGCCTGCAGCCCCTTGGCGTGAGAGCTGTTTTCCTTCCTGCAGCTCCGGCCTAGGGCTCTGCCTGAACAACCGGCCCCCCAGACAGGACTTCGTGTACCCAACGGTGGCCCCTGGCCAGGCCTATGATGCAGACGAGCAGTGCCGCTTCCAGCACGGAGTCAAATCGCGTCAGTGTAAATACGGGGTAGAGAGAGCCTTCCTGCTTTCCTTCCTGGGAGGGGAGGGGGCCACGGGGCGGGAAACCCTACCACTGGGCACCCAACCCGGGAAGTGGGGGGCGGGGGAGCCAGCGAGGGGTGGGGTGAGACCCAAGGGGAGCCGGGAAGACAGGGGTGCCTGGGGTGTACAGTGTCCCAAACAGCCAACAGTGGGAACGAAAATGAGATGCCCCATTCTGTGGCTCCCTGATTGGAGGGCTGGGCTGGAGGGACCACCTTCTGTTCAGCACGTAAGTGCCACCCTCAGCCTGCAGCAGGACCAAAGGCCCAAGACCGCTAAGTGGGAAGTCTTAAACTAAACACCCAGACTTGACGAAAAGTCTCCCTAGGAGTGAACGACCTACCTCACTCAGAAAAGAAGTGGGCAGACCCTTCCAGGGACGCCCTGTCTTCCCTTCCCTCATCCCCACTGACCGGTTCACTAGGTCTCCTGGCTGCTTGGCCAGACAGGCTCTGAGCTTCCTGACCACTCCCCACTCCCTGGAGGCTCAGACTCTCAAAGCTCTATGCACAGGAAGTGAGCTAGGGCTGGGCTCAGGGGCACTATAATCCGAGCAACCCACAAGTTCAAGGCCAGCCTCAGCAATTTAGTAAAACCCTGTCTCAAAAATAAAATGAAAACGGCTGGGGCCGTAGCTCAGTGGTAAAGCGCCCCTGGGTTCAATCCCCAGTACCACAGGGGAAAAAAAAAGTGAGCTGGCCTGGGGAGGGGGGAGGAGGAAGCCCACTCCCAGCTCCCCCAGAAAGCCAGAGACTTGCGGGCTTCCTTCTTTGGCCACTAGACCTCAGTCATGGCCAGTTCCTCAGCTGTTCACCTTCCTCAGTCCCCGAACATGCTTCCTGGATATCCTCAGGCTCAGCCCTAGTGACCCCAGGCCCAGCCCCAACCCTCCTGATGCTCCAGACGAAGGATCTGAGTCTGCCTGGCCATAGCCAAGATAATGTCCTGCCAGTGCAGAGCAGAGGGCCGGCAGCTATCAAAATGCCCTCACTTCCTCCCACTGCAAGACAAGGAGACAGATCCGGGAACAGTGCACATTTACTTGACATTCTCTTGCCCTCCAACCCTCACTTGGCTGGTAATAGCCTCTAATGAATCTCTAAGAAGTTCTGAGGCTATGCCTGAATATCTGCCATGTCCTAAAAATCCTAACAATGGTAATACCTGATATTTACTGGGCACTTACTATGGGCTGAGCACATGATTATATATCATCTCATTTAAACCCCTCCCAATCCTTTTATCCCCAAGTTACAGATAGAGAGTCTGGGCCTAAGGAGGATGACTTACCCCAGGACATAGTTCAGCAGAGCTGGGATTTGAACCCAAGTCTCTCTAGACTCCGAATTTTATAAAGGGAGGTGGGAAGGGAGAGGAACTGTCAGAATATCAAGCTTGGGCTGGCACTGGATATAAGTTGAATTGAACCTTCCTTTCCTTTTTCAAAGAACATCTTTCTGGCCCTCCTGTCAAAGACAGGATTTACTTACAGCATGTTAAATGGCTAAGATATAGAAGGAGCTCAGCCTAACACCTGGGCCAGGGATCGTGTGCTCATTAGTCCCCAACAGCAGGGCATTTATGCAAGGCTGCCCGTCTTGTAGATGAGGAAACTGAGGCCCAGAGAGGGGAAATGTATTGCAAGTCAGTGGTAGGACTGTCTCCCTGAGTGGCCTGGAACTCACCATATATGCCACAGTACCTCACGGAGAGAAGGTCAGAAGTGGGACTGGGGCTGAACTGGTGCAGCATTTTTAGAGATGGCCAGGAGGACACAAGCCAAGTAGGTGAAGCCAGACAACCAGGCTGAGTCTTCAGAAGAGGAGTGTCCTCTTTGTGAAGGAAGAAGGCAGGGCCTCTGGAGGTTTGAGAACAACTCATCTCTCAAGAGCAGACCCTAGTAGGGTACGGTCTTACATCATCCAGTCCAATCCCAAATCTGCAAAGCTTGGGAGGATTTGGTTCAAGTAAAGAATTACAGAAGGAGTGGGCTGGAGGGAGTGAGATTTGGCAACACCTGAATCTAGTGGGGCTTCTCCCAGGATAACAACCTAGACTGAAAGGTCAAAGCGACTCTCTGGTACCTGTCCAGCTTCCACGGTCGGGACCTGCTGTCAGGGCCTGGGCCAGCCCAAGACGGGAGAAGGTGGTCCTAATTTTTTACCTGGGAAGTAGAGAAACACCCCTGTGCCATCTTCTTGAACCTTCACCCTCCACAGTTTAAAAGCACCAGGGGCTTCTCCAGTTCAGATGGGGGGACAAGAGAACCACCACCTGGAAAAAACAAAAGATGAGACTTGACCAGAGCCACCCACCGCCCAGGCCTGGTTCCTCACAACCGCTCCGCCTACACTTCCGCACACCCCATAAAAGAAGAGGGAATTCCTCCTGTCCCTTCCTAGCAGGTCCCAAGTTTACCCAGCCTCAAAGGTCTGGCTTAGTCTCCAGGCTGCCCCCTAGTAGTTCAGGGACCTTGCCTGCTGAACCTTGATTTTCTTCCGCTAAAATGGGGATAATAATGTTCAAAGGAGACTGTGCCCCTCATCGGTGTTCCATAAGCACAGCTGACTGACAGAAGTCCCAAGCCATGGCCCAAAAGGGGCTCAGCTGAGACGGGAAAACTCTGGGGCCCGGCTCCGGGGCTGCAGTGAGCAGGACGCTGGGTCCTCCCGGGCCAGGCGGGCTGCGGAGGGAGGGTGTCGAGCCTGAGCGGGCACCTCGGCCCGCAGGAGGTCTGCAGCGAGCTGTGGTGTCTGAGCAAGAGCAACCGGTGCATCACCAACAGCATCCCCGCCGCCGAGGGCACGGTGTGCCAGACGCACACCATCGACAAGGGGGTGAGCGCGCACAAGGCTGGGCCCCGCCCCTCGGTCCATTTCCTGCGTAGGCCACGCCCCCGCCTTCTTCCTGCCCCCCCCGCCACACCCTCCGCATGCAGGTCCCGCCCCGGTGTGGCCGTCCATCTCAGGCCACGCCCCCTCCGGCTTTTGTCTCAGTGCGAGCTTCGCCCCGCCCCGCGCTGGTCCTGTGCTTAGGCCACGCCTCCTGCTTGAGCGCTGTCCGGCTCCCTCGCCACGCCTCTGGCCTCTGCCAGAGCCCGGTGCTACCTGACTGGCAGCTTCCTCAGACCCCGCCACTGTCCATCCCCTTCCGCCCCATCCTCGAGGGACGGGGACTTGTGCCTGGGTCATGGGGGAGTCGTGGGGACGGGGCCCTGAGCCCAGAGCCTGTGCAGACCAGGACTCTGCCCTCTCCATCTCCCCCCAAACCACCACCAAAAAATCCCGCCCAGTGGTGCTACAAGCGGGTGTGTGTCCCCTTCGGGTCGCGGCCGGAGGGCGTGGACGGAGCCTGGGGCCCGTGGACCCCGTGGGGCGACTGCAGCAGAACGTGCGGCGGCGGTGTGTCTTCTTCCAGCCGCCACTGCGACAGCCCCAGGTCAGCCCTCAGGACCTTTTCCCAGGAAAACGCGGGACCCCTGCCCCCTGTCGCCCCATCTCTCTCCTGTCTCCCCCATCCCTTCCAGGCCAACCATCGGGGGCAAGTACTGTCTGGGCGAACGGAGGCGGCACCGCTCGTGCAACACGGAGGTGAGTGTCTGGGACTCACACTTGAGAACAAGGGGACACCAGCCCTCAACCCTTGGGAGCCGGGGTCCAAGTGCTTCAGGCGGCTGCCTGCCATCTCCTCGGGTACAATGCAGTGTGTCCCCTCCTTTCAACCTAGCTTCCCTCAAAGAGCCCAGCCACCCCCCTCTGTCATCCCAGAACCCTGGCCGACTTCCTCTCACCAAATCTGGGGGCCATCTTTTGTCTTCTGCTATGCCTTGGTCTGACCAGAGATCTGCACACATCTTTCTGGCCTCTCCATGATTACACCCCTGAAGGGCTTCTCTCCACAGAGTCTCTGCTTTTTGTTCCTTAAATGCTGGAGTTACTAGGGCTGGGGTCCTGTGTATGGATGAGTTTTAGGGGGACACACACAGAGGCTTGCTAAAGAAGGTGATGTTCAGAGGGCAGGAAAAACTTCTGGTGAGCAGTGACCTTCCCAGGCCCCCACCTGGGGACTCTCGAGTCCACAGGGAATCCACACACCCCCAACATTCATGAGGAACTTGGCACACGCTCGAAACCCTGCTCCATTTATTCCAGGCTTCCTCTCTTAAGAAGGCCCCTGGTCAGAAATCAGGCATCATCCCAGCTCACCCCTCCCCTGTGATGACTCACCTAGATGCACTTAGATGCCTAGCACAGGTCTCACCTGGACCATCCCAGCCTCCTCCCTGGTCTCCCTGCCTCCAGGCTCAATCTTTCAACAAATGCCCCTCTGAGTGTTACTTCTCTGCCCTAACTTCCTCCATCCAGGACTGTCCCCCTGGCTCCCAGGACTTCAGGGAAATGCAGTGCTCTGAATTTGACAGTGTCCCCTTCCGTGGAAAATTCTACACATGGAAGACGTACCGAGGAGGTGAGTTGGGAATCCCAGGGCTGTGGGCAGTGGAGTGAAGCTGTGGGGGCATGCAGCCGTGCGTGGATGCTGAAGGCATCATGGGGTCTGCCTGGACCTCCCCCTCCCCAAGGAAGCAGAGCTCCTGGGATGTGCTGGGTGGAGGTTGGCCTGGGCACCTGGGCCTCCAGTCCCACTTCCCCGCTGCCCACGACATTGGGTCTGGGTCTGACGGGGCCGTGCCCCCCAGGGGGCGTGAAGGCCTGCTCTCTCACATGCCTAGCCGAAGGCTTCAACTTCTACACCGAGAGGGCAGCCGCTGTGGTGGACGGGACGCCCTGCCGCCCAGACACAGTGGACATTTGCGTCAGCGGCGAGTGCAAGGTAAAGTGGTCTCCTGAGGAGAAGGAGCGGGCTGGTGGGGGGACAGGAGGGCATCTCCGTGACGCCCACCCGGTCGCTGCGCTCTCTGTGCAGCATGTGGGCTGTGACCGCGTCCTGGGCTCCGACCTACGGGAGGACAAGTGTCGCGTGTGTGGGGGTGACGGCAGTGCCTGCGAGACCATCGAGGGGGTCTTCAGCCCAGCCTCACCTGGGGCAGGTGAGGGCTCTCAAACTCCCCACTTGGTTTTGGTGGCTGGGACGGGGCTGACCTCACTACAGCCAAGATCAGTAACTTCTTAGACTCTAGGGGCCCCATGTAGTCCTGGGGGCCCAAAATGCCCCAGATCAGGATCAGGAAGGGCCCTAGCTGCTGCCTTGGGCTCTGGTGCCTAGACCCCGCCACCAGAAGTCTCCGGGCCTAGAAACCCAGATCTCCTCCCTCTGCCGTCCTGGGGCCCTCAGGCTGCGTCTGGCTGGGAAGAGGGGTCATTCTCCATCCTGTGAGCCAGAGGAGCTGGGGAGCTCTCTGTGCTGGCAGGAAAAGGCTTACTTGGGGAGGGGGACCCTGGGGGGTGTAGTGAACACTCTTCCTTGCTCCTGCTGGGGATAAGGGGTTCTAAGGAGGGGGAGTCAGGAAGCCTAGGAGGGCTGGGAAGCTGGGGGGCTCTGCCGCAGGGAGTGTGGCGGGATGGATGATGGGGCTGGTCATCCGAGGCCACGCACAGACCAGCAGGAACAAGTTGCAGAACATGAGTGTCATCCCCAGGGCAGGGCCCCAGTGGGGTTATTTAAGGCAGCTGGTGTCAAGAATGAGACGATGTGGTGACATAGCTAAGAAGGGGCAGTGGAGATGGGAAGAGGAGGTAAAATGAAGATAAATCCAGACACCAGGTGGTAGGACATGGCTGATCATGGATTGGGGATGTGCAGTCAGGGAGGATTTTCAGATGTCCAAGGGGACGTCTAAGTGATCCCTAGTAGACAATAGGCTGTCCCCAAGATGGAAACTTCCAGGGGAACAGGAAAGTTATTGAGTTGGGACACAGAGAGATTGAGGAGCCCAAGGGACATTGAAGTGCCATCTAGAGGGTCAAGGAGAGAGAGAGATGGAGACTGAGGGTCCTTAGGCCTGAAGACCTGATCCCAAACCCTGGGGTTCCACAGAGCCATGCAACTCCTCCTGCGGTAGGGGGTTGGGTTGGGGATGTTGGCAGAGAGGGAAGGTAGAGCTCACAGGGGACGGTGTGGGGTCTAGCCAGATAGGCCAGGACTATGGAATGGTACAGGTGGGCAAATGTAGAGGGCTCCTAGGGCCCAGGTAGTCAGTGGTGAAACCTGCTGTAAACCTAGTTCTGAGTGCCAAAATTCCACCCTGTCACCCTGTGTGGCAGGGGCTCAGTGGTATCTGTAGGAACCAGGGGGCTGGATCAGATGATTTTGGTGATTAGAGGGGCAGGAAGATTTGAGTTCAAATCCACCCCAGGGAGGGTGTGGCTCAGTGGTAGAGTGTCTGTTATGTATGGGGCCCTGGGCTCTACCTCTGTCCATCACTAATGTTGGGGAAAAAAAATTCCCAACTTAGTCACTGCCTAGCTGTAAAACTCAGGCCACTTGCTTAGTTTCTGACCTTCAGTTTTGTCATCTGTAAAATGAGCGTGGTGACACGTGTACTTCACGTGTCAGCTGGTTAGCAGCACCATTGGGGCCAAGGATGAGGGGGACAGGTGGGTGACATCAGACCTCTGCTGTCCAGGGTATGAGGATGTCGTCTGGATCCCCAAAGGCTCTGTCCACATTTTCATCCAGGACCTGAACCTGTCCCTCAGTCATCTGGGTATGCGGAGGTGGGGAGATGGGGATTGTGGGTCCACAGAGGTGGGTAGCCTGACTAGAGTTCTGAGCCCTGTGCTGTCCCCAGCCCTGAAGGGGGACCAGGAGTCCCTGCTGCTGGAGGGGCTGCCCGGAATCCCCCAGCCTCACCGCCTGCCCCTGGCTGGGACCACCTTTCACCTGCGACAGGGGCCAGACCAGGCCCAGAGCCTAGAAGCCCTGGGACCCATTAATGCCTCTCTCATCGTCATGGTAACATTGGGGCGGGGTGGGGGGGTACAGGTGCAGGAGAACATTAGCATCTTTTGGGGATGGAGACTCCACGAGATCCCTCCATCGGCTGCTCCCTGTGCCCCCAGGTGCTGGCCCGAACAGAGCTGCCTGCCCTCCGCTACCGCTTCAATGCACCCATCACCCGGGACGCCCTGCCCCCCTACTCCTGGCACTACACACCCTGGACCAAATGCTCAGCCCAGTGTGCAGGCGGTGAGGCCAGGGTGGGCCGGGGTGAGTGCGAGGCACCCAGCCTGCCGTCCTCTGACGGGGCTGAGCGGGACTCTCCCCTCCCCCAGGCAGCCAGGTGCAGGTGGTGGAGTGTCGCAACCAGCTGGACAGCTCGGCAGTAGCCCCTCACCACTGCAGTGCCCACAGCAAACTGCCCAAGAGGCAGCGAGCCTGCAACACAGAGCCGTGCCCACCAGAGTGAGTGTCCACCTGGAGGCAGGGTGGCCTGGGGTGGGGCAGGGTGCTCCCTGGGGTCAGGAGGAATGCTTCCAAGGGGGTGGGGAGCAGGTCTATGCAGGACCGCAGTGACAGTGGACCCAAGGTCAAGGTCATGGTGCTCCTTAAGGTGGGGGCTAAAGCTGGATGGTTCTGGGGTCAGGACGATCATGCTGCACAGCCAGGGTAACAGTCTGGGGAATCAGGATGATGCATCTCCCTGCCCTCAGTCGGGTGCCCAGTGATGCGATGCTCTCTCTAAGTGCATCTGGAGCACTTTGCCCCTGCCCTGCCCCATTCTGTAAGATGCTCACTGGCAGGACTGGCATCGGCTAGAACACGAGCTCCAGGGTTGGGGCCCCCTGCCCCAAATACTTGCTCAGGCCCCTCCTGCATCCCAACAGTTGGGTGGTGGGAAACTGGTCGCGCTGCAGCCGCAGCTGTGATGCGGGAGTGCGCAGCCGCTCCGTCGTGTGCCAGCGCCGCATGTCGGCCGCCGAAGAGAAGGCGCTGGACGACAGCGCGTGCCCGCAGCCCCGGCCGCCGGTGCTGGAAGCCTGCCATGGCCCCGCCTGCCCTCCCGAGTGGGCCGCCCTGGACTGGTCTGAGGTCAGCTGCCCCTTCCCACCCGCCCGCACCCAGTCCGCTTCCAGTCAGAGAGCGGGCAGGTCCTGGGATGCCTGTGGGTGGGGCTCATTGAGGCCCCTGCTCCGTGGCCCGGTACCCTAGGGGGCCACCCTCGACTGGCTCAGTTACCTGTCCACTCCACTCCTCCCACTGGGTCAGCCCCCTGCCCACCCGCTGAGCATAAAAATCTCCAACTACAGTGCACCCCAAGCTGCGGGCCCGGACTTCGTCACCGCGTGGTCCTTTGCAAGAGCGCTGACCAGCGGGCCACGCTGCCCCCCACGCACTGCCCGCCCGCAGCTAAGCCGCCGGCCACCATGCGCTGCAACCTGCGCCGCTGTCCCCCAGCCCGCTGGGTAGCGAGTGAGTGGAGCGAGGTAGGTGGGCACGCCCTAGGGGACTCGGGAGAGGGCAGGGCCCAGGGGCGTCGGCTCAGCGGCACCTCTCCCCAGTGCTCCGCGCAGTGTGGCCTCGGCCAGCAGCAGCGCGCCGTGCACTGCACCAGCCACACCGGCCAGCCGTCCCGCGAGTGCACCGAGGCCCTGCGGCCCCCCACCACACAGCAGTGTGAGACTAAGTGCGACAGTACGCCACCTGGGGACGGCCCGGAAGGTATGTGGGCGACAGACCAGAGGAGCACAGGAGAAGGCAAGGGGGTCCTGACAATTAGACGCAGAGCTCCTGGAGCCCCTGAAATGCTCTCCTCTGTCGCTGCCAGGCCATCTGTCATTGTGCCCACCCTGCAAACACTTATTAGGTGTCACTGTGCTGAGCATTTTAGGCATTGACCCTCTGAGCACTCAGACTCAGCTCCTCCCCACACTCAGCCCGTGAGCTTTACCCTGTTCATTTCCACCTGTTCTCTCATTCACCTTGCATTTTTCCTTTAAATCAGAGTTTCGCAGTCTCAGGCACTATTGATGCGTTGGGCCAGGTGATTCTGTCCTGTGCTCTGTAGGATGTCTGCAGCGTCCCGACCTCTCACTAGAGGCTAGTAACACCCCCTCTCCCCAATAATGACAAGGAAAAATATCTCCAGATATTGCCTACTGCGGAGGAGGGGACAAATTCTCCTCTCCTTGAGAATACTGCTGTTATACCACAACTCTGTGTGTGTGTGTGTATGTATGTATGTATGTATGTGTGTGTGTGAATGGAGATGGGAGGTCTCACTATGTTACCTGGGTTGGTCTTGAACTCCTAGACTCAAGTGATCCTGCCTCAGCCTCCTGAGTAGCTGGAACTACAGGCAGGTGCCACTGACCCAGCTGTAAATCATGTTTGTTTTTGTTTGCTTGTTTGCTTCTGCAGTACTAGAAGTTGCACACAGGGCCTTGAGCATGCTAGGCGTGCCTTCTACCACTGAGCCACACCCCCAGCTCTTTTTAAATTTTGAGACAGGGTCTCAGTAAATTGCCTAAGCTGGCCTCAAACTTGTGATCCTCCTGCCTCAGCCTTCCAACTAGCTGAGATTACAGGTGTACGTCACCGCACCAGTTTACACACATTTTTGATAGACAGCAATAGATTTCTTATTCCAGGCACTGGAGCCAAACTACAGAGGTTTGCCTCATACCACTGTGCCTCCATTTCCTTATCTGTCAAGGGGTATGAATGATGTCTTCACTTGGGCGGGGTGCCTCATTAGGGAGATGGAACAAAATGATCAATGTGAAGCCCTTTATTAGGACAGGACCCTGCTGTGCTTCACTGGCTGCTGTCCCGTGTCATGAAGAGAGATTGTTGAATACCATGAACATAAAATACACAAATGCCTGGAACTGTGGCCCAAGTTTATTAAACTTGGGAAAGGAGTGAGCATTGTAAACAGTTATTCTCTTCTGGGTGGCATCAAAAAGATAACTGAATAGGAAATACTTTTCTGGCTAATGATGTACCCAAATCAGCCCCAACCCCTGCACACTCTAAATCCTCAAAACAGCCTAATGACATACGTACTCTTATAAGCCCCTTTTGACAACTGCAGAAACTGAGACATAGAGAGGCAAAGTCAGTGACCAGAACCCACAGTCCAGACAGTGTATGCACCCCTGCTGGGAGGGACACTAAGACCTGATTTCTCCTTTTCTCTCCCCTCAACCCCCCCCCCCCCCCCCCCAGAGTGCAAGGATGTGAACAAAGTCGCCTACTGCCCCCTGGTGCTCAAATTTCAGTTCTGCAGCCGAGCCTACTTCCGCCAGATGTGCTGCAAAACCTGCCAGGGCCGCTAGGGGGCGCGCGGCACCTGAAGCCACACCTGAGTGCAGGCTGAGGGGGTCTGGGCCAGAGAGGGCCGGAGGGGGCGGGAGCTGGGAGGGAAGGGTGAGATGGAGCTGGAAGTTATTTATTGGGAACCCCTGCAGGGCCCCTGGCTGGGTGATGGAGAGGGGCTAGCTACTCCCAGCCCCTCACGTAGTTCATACTGAGACCTCCTCCAGGGTGGGTCTGGGAAGGGGACAAAGGTCACCCCAGGGCCCTTTGCACTCACCCTCATGGAGTCCCCAATGCTCTCCCACCCTTTGATGGGAATATGTACTGTGAAGAGTGGAGGTGGGGAGGGGGTCTTCGGGTGCCCTGCCCCCCAGCGCTGGCCTTCCTTCCTGTCCACTCCGAGCTGGGGGGAATCTGTGTCTACTATGGGGGAGGAGTTCAGCACCATCTCCCTGATCCCCTCCCCGTGAACTGACCCCAGGGGAATATCCACCCCATCCTCTGCTCTGCCTGCCCTGTGGGGACCCCAACATCCAGGCCACCCTCTTCATGGTGCTACAAGCCCTACCCTGGGGCCCACACACTCCTCACCAGGAAGCCCCACATAATAAAGTTCTGTCTTGTGTAAATTTCCGTGCATTCCTAGATGTGTGTCGGTGTGCGCGAGTCCCGGCCAGTGCCTGCCCAGGACCAGAAGAGGTCACAGTTCTTCAGGGTCATCCACAATGAACTTAGGGGACTTTTACCAACACAAACAAAAGCCCAGAATTCTAAGACAGAAGTACAGCTTCTCGTGGAGGTTCCCAAGGTCACACCCTGATAACCCCAACAACGTAGGGTCCTCCTGCCTGTGGACCCATCAAGTTGCCCCAATTCCTGGAACTTGCTCAGGAGGTTCAAGGAGAGACAGGCTCCTTCCCAAATGTGGACACTAGGGGACACCCCTGTGGACACCTAGGAGGGTGCATCAAAGGCCAAAGATGGGTTTGAACACAGGTCGCTGCCCCCTCAGCCACCTCCTTGCGGGATGAGGTGGGGAGGAGATAACCCCTTGGAATTGTTATTTCCTCTAGTAACAAGAGACCAGGGTGTGGTGGTCTGCTGATTTTCCAGAGACCAAAGCCTGGGTCCAGGCACTGCCAAGAGAAGATGCCCCATTTTACAAGAACAAGATGGGAAATCAAGTCCAGGAAGTGGCAGAGCCAGGGGCTGCAGGTCCAGATCTCACACCCAGAGTTGGAGGCTTTTCAGGACACCTGGCCCCGCATACCGTCCACCCCCACTGCCCCTCCATGACAAAGCCGCATGGGCCCCTAGGGCTGTACGCAGGGAAGACCAGCAGAGGCTGATCTGGAAGAGAGTTTATCAGAGCAGGCGCATCTAACATGGCCCTTTCCCTAGTTTTCAAAGGAGATGAGTAATCCAAATGCTTCCAGGATCACCCTGCAAAGGGTGGTCAGCCCTGCGGCCAGCAGACCTGAATGTGGCCCCTGTCCTTGAGATGGAGAAGCCCCCTGTCTGGGGTCTGGCAGTGGCTGTCCGCGATCTTGGAGGTGCAGAGGCTCTGGCAGCCGGCTCCCCCAGCTCTGCTCTAGAGCCGCTTTCTCCCCGCCCTTGGGGCCCAGCTTCCCTCCCCCGGGGCCACGGCCCCTCCCGTCAAAGGAAGTGAGAGGGGCTGTTGTAAGAGGAACTGAGGGCCAGGAGCCGGTGAGGAACGGGAGCAGGGCCATGCCCAAGCCGCCCCCAAGAGCCCTCTGAGCCTGTGCCCCTGCCACAGCCCTTCCGGTGACCCCCCAGGAGCCGGACGCCAACCCCACCATGGTAAGTCCTCCAAGGGTGGGCTCTGGAAGTGTAGGGGTGGGAACAGCAGCCAGGTGGAGGTGCCCTGGAGATCGGCCTCGGAAGGTGAGGAATGAGGAGGACAGTGGCCGGCCCTTTGGGGTCCCTCAGTGCAGGTCAAGGGACCCCAGACCCTTACCAGGCACAGGTTCCCATCTGACGATGCCAGGCTGGCTCTTGGGACCCATGGAACAGCAACAGGAGGAGAAGGTGTCCCAAGGGAATCAGAGTGCAGGGACAGGGACCTGGTCCCTTCCTGGGGGACGTCCGGGGAAGCCAGTGCTTAGCTCAGCTCTCATCTCCCCCTGTGGCCTTGGACATGTGCCCTCCTCTCTCCTGGCCTCGGTGCACACAGCTGTCATCTCTGGAGGGCTGGCTGTGAACGAGGTTCTTCAGGAGCGTTTCAGTGGGGACATTCAGAGGGCCTGTGGGTCTGGCCGTCTGAGTCCACCAATGGGGGGAGAAGCTGTGTCTCATGGGCGGGGGGGGGGGGAGTGACAGTGTGGCTGTGCGGGTGGCGGGTGGTTTGGCTGTAGTGTCTACAGAGGAAAAGGTGGGGAGATGGTCACAGTGTTAGTGTCCTCGCTCGGAGCCACCGCAGAGGATGGCCACAGAGACCCCTGCAGACAGCCTGTGCGCCGAGGTCAGGTGTGTTGGAGCGGTGACCCGAGGCCTTCGGGTCCAGCCCCAGCAGCCCCGCAACACCCAGCAAGAGGGAGCGCGCTGGCTCCACGGGCCTCCCCAGGTCCCAGCCCCAGACCTCCTCAGGCCACTTCAGCTTTCAGTTTTTGTCATTCTGTCAACGAGAATGCGGGGCAGGGTTCTTGGTGGTTGCAGAAAACAGCTGGGCAGGGCGAGGCAGGAGGTGGAGCGCGGGGCAGGAGCCGGGCTAGCCTGAGACCCTCTTGGGAGAGCAGGGGCGCCCCGGGCATCACGGGCCGGGCATCACGGGCTCCGCGGCCCACAGCCAGGCCTTGGGACAGAGACGCTTCCAAGACAGCCGAGCCCGGGGCCGAGGAGCCCTGGTGGGCACTTGGCTCAGAAGAACACGGGAAGCGACTTGCTCCTTGGGAGATAGGACGGGGCCGAGTGGGAGGGGAGGACAAGGAGGAGAGGTGGAGGAGGCCACCATGGGAACGCCACCTCTGCCTGTGGGGGCTGGACTTCCTGCAGGGACACAGGACTCTGTTCAGAAGGTCTGTGACAGAGCACACGGTGTGCGCCCAGGACACAGTGGCCATTCCGGGGCGGGGCTCAGGTGCTTCTGGAGTCAGCCCCGGGAAGGGTGCAGGTGACCCTGGTCACTAGGGAGGAGTGGTCACCGTCGGCTGCAATGGCGGCTGTTGCTATGGTGCTAACGGTGGCTCTTGTCTCTGAAGTGATGACAGGGGGTTAAGAGTGGTCCCTGGACTTTTCCGATGGACGTCTTGGTGAGCCCTGGTGATGGATGAACCGACGCCGTCTGGTTGCTGTTATTGGAGCTGGGTGGCTTGGGGTGCTCTTTGCTGTTTGTAGCTCGTTGCTGGGTTTGGGGGTTTGGGTGGTTTTTTGGTTTGCCTGCTTTGTCATGGTGCTGGGGTGTGACCGCACCCCGCACTGAGCGCCACCCCCAGGCCGCGCTGGTTTCTGGTGAGGGTGCTCCCACTGGTGAGTGGGCTCCGAGTGGGCCCTGGCGGGTCAGTGCTGCATCACGGCGTCGCTGAGGTGGCCGGCTGGGCGGCTGCTGGCCAGCAGTGTTGCTGCTGGTGGGTGGTTCCTGGGCTGGTGGGTGGTGATGGGGGCGGCGCAGAGGAGGATGGAACGGGTCCCTCCTGTTTCTGCTTGACTCTGGCTGGTGCCGGCACCGCTGTCATTAGCAGTTTCTGTTTGACTGACTGTGGGCTGCGGGGAGGAGGCGGCAGCTGGCTGGCACTGGTGGTGACAGGAGGCTAATCGTGGTTGTTTTAAAGGGACAGACAGAAAGCACAGAGACCAGTGATGTGGCTGCCTGGTCTAGGGCCACTGGCTGTGGAGATGGACAGGAGAGACTGGAGCTGAGAGGGACCAGTCATGAAAGTCATGAAGACGAGCCCAGCTGCGGGGTGGGGGGGCGGGATGGCAAGAGCCAGGGCCAGGGAGGTGTTTGCTGGGCCTGGGCCCCACCCAAAGGCTCTTCTCCAGTGAGCAAGAGGGTGAGACCAGAGCTCCCCAGCTCCAGCCTCCGTGTGGGGTGTCAAGTCCCCTGACCCTGGACCGTCTCCAGCAATCAGACAGAGAGCCCCGCTCCAAGAAGACGGGGATCCCTACTGTGGGATAATGGCTCTGGCTGGACCAAAAGGAAACAGACCCTCTGCTTCCCCAAGCGGGAGGGCAACCCTGGGAGCCTTTGGAGACCAGGATGCTGTTTGCACAGCGTGGGATACAGAGCGTGGCCCCAGAGCCCACGGGGCGGGGGAGGCAGACCAAGGCTCCAAGGGCAGCCCCGAGGGACCAGGGGTCTTGGTCCCAGCAGCAGTGCCACCACATCACATCTCCTCCCAGCAGCCACAGCTCGTGGGACCCCCGAGGAAGGAAGTGGTATTCTGTGCTCTCTCCAGACTGGGGCTCTTGCTCCTCCCCACGCGGGAACAGAAAGCTGGGAGCACTGGGGGTGACTGGAACAAGCTCCCTTCCTCATGGCCTTGGGCCTCCAGGGGCCAAGCCCGAGGCTGCTGCAGATGGCAACGGGGAGGCTGGCATGTGTGTGTGACAAACTCTGCCTCGCCACATCTGCACAGCAGCCCTGTGAGGTCTGCGTGCTCCGGGCTCCCATATTCCAGATGGGGAAACTGAGGCAGCTGGCGGTCAGGCGAGCATCTGTATAACCAGAGCGGATTTCAACTTGGTCACTCCTGAGACCACACTGTCAACAGCCATCTTGGCACAGCCCGCCCCTCCTGCCAGGAGGTGAGAGGCCACAGTGGAGGTGGGCACTGACCCACATGCCCTGGGCTGCCCATTCCCCTTAAGGACCCCTGCCCATCCCTTCAGCCTTATTTAGAACTGGACACCCTGCTCGCTCCAAAGAAGCTAGACTCGGGGGTCCCCGACACACACCCCGAGACCTGCCTCCTGCCGGAAGCTCTGCGCCCGCTCCCCTTCCCCAACCCAGGCCCTTTGGGCAATCTCTCCACCTACTCCAAGAGGAGGGTCATCTGCACATGGTCTCAGCTCCCTCGGGCACAGCAGAGTCTCAGGAAGTGTGCTCAGTACCGGGCGGGCGCCCCAGCCCCACAGCAGCCACCACCTTGACCACAAAGAACCCCTCCTCCCTTTCGCACAGGGCAAGTCTGTCCCAGACTACCCCTACCCCTCCTGCCTCTCACCTTGGGGTAGGAAGACCTCTCTGAAGAGCTGAAGGAAGAAGCTACCTTCCCCTTCCCACCCTAGCACCTCCAGCCCCTGATGGTCTTTCACAACAGCCCCAGCAGGTTGAGTCATACTCAGCTTGTGGTCAACTGTGACCACAACCTCTTCGTTACACCCCCACCCCAAGGAAGGGGCTCATGAGTAAACAGTTGAAACTTGACCCATGGTAACTTGGAAGGCACAGAGAAGGGGATGCTTAGAAGACAGGACAGGGAGAAGTCTCTTCCATGGTACTCCATTCATTCATTCAGCAAGTATGTACTGACCAGCTCCTACATCCTAGTCCTCTGGAAGCTCATAAAGGAATCCCTGTGAGAAGAGGGGAGACAGGGCTGAGAGTGAGTTGGTCCTTCCAGAGCCACAAGGTGGTGAACTGTCAACCCAGGACTTGAAGACAACCTGTCATGTGCCAAAATCCTTGACTGCCCCTACACACCCACGGACAAAGCCTCCTCTCCCTTCCATGCACGCGGCCTGGGCTTGATGACTGGCTGGAGCTAAGAGTGTCTGGGGGCCAGGCCCTGGGGACAGGATGGAGAGGGAGGGGATGGCAGGCCTGTGAGACACAGAGGCTACTCTGCAGAGCAAGGGAAGAAAGGAGGGACAGGAAGAGGAACCAAGCGCCAAAGGCCACCACAACCAGACGGCCAGTGCACCCAGTCAGACACAGCTGGCCTCAGGCCTCTAGTTCCAGCAAGAGGAAGTGGCCTTGGGTCTCAGCTCAGCCCGAGGGGCCTCACTGCATGAAGAAAGGACCAGCCTGAAAGGGGAAGCCCTGGATACGCCAGTCTGTCCTCACCCCATCTGTCCTCATCTGACTTGAAGCACCAAACCCCGCCAACTCTGACCCAAACTGTCAGACAGTCTGGTGTGTTCTCTCTTCCCACGCAGCCACGCTCCTGCTGTGTGATCTCCAGGAGGTTACCTAACCTCTCTGTGCTCTCTGCACAGTTTCCTCTTCTGCAAATGGACTTGATAATCCTAACAAACTCAGCATGTGTTGAAAGGATGAGATAATTCACTTTAAAAAGCTTAGGACAGTGCAGAGGTGTGGCTTGCCTAGCAAGCATGAGGTCCTAGGCTTAAAGCCTGGCCCAAGAAAACACAAACTTAGACTAGAACCTGGCGCAGAATAAACGCCTGCAGAGTCTTAACTACTGCTGTTATTGTTTCCCAACCTTAGCACTCACAGACCCACCCCCCCCCCCAGCTCCTCAGAGGCAGAATCCACTTCCTGTCCTCCCAGCCACTGACGCTGGGCTGTTCAGGTCCCCCCAGCCATCAGCTCAGACAGGGAGCAGATCCCAAGCCCACAAATGGCGAAGGACACCACTTCATTCCCAGTCTTCATCCTCCCTCCTCACCAACGTGCTCTGGTCTCCCCATCTTGAAAACAGGAAACCCTCGGTGACCCCACCTTCCCCCAGCTCCTTCCCTCTTCCTCTTCCCAACCAAAGTGTCTGACACCTGTCCTCACACCCCCTCCCCCCTCAAGCTGACTTCTGACCCTGAGGTCTCTGACCGCCTCCCTGGGGACCCTGGAGGGTGTGGCCAATCCTCAGTAGCTGGTGCAATCTCCCCACCCTCGCACCCCTCATCCCAGCTGGCCCCGCCCTGCCCTCATCCCGGCCACGCCCCCTTCTCCTAGCAGGGCTTGCAATCCAGGCCAGGGCACACTGGACTCGTGTGACCCCAGTCCTGCAGAGGGAGGCGCTCAGGCCCGCGCAGCAGGAATACCTCCAGGTGCGCCGCTGTGACCAGGTGTGTCCTTGAGCACACAGCCCCACCTGCTGGCCAATACTGAGGGGTGGTACAGTGGCCACTTCAACAGCACGAGCAGTGTGACCTTGGGGGACATCAGCTTCCCAGAGGTTGAGCTTGGCGAAATCTGGAAAAACTAAAACCTCCCTTTGCCCTTGGTGGTCATGCGGCTGCAAAAGGCAGTGGGTGTCAATCATGCTGGGCGTGTG